TTCTCAGCATTTACAGTGTTTTCTGCTCCACGCCGTTATGACATTAGCAACTGATCCTGAACGTCACGATGCGCTCATACTGTCTGGAGTACCACGAGTTATGAGAACGTTATTGTCGCCGGCTGTGAGTGTTACTACTTCAGATGCAAAATGTAGAGCCTATGTCAGATGGCTTGCCACGAGGATAATGGTATACATTGGCAAATTTCAGTATAAGTCGGATCGATCCTTCATGCACATTATCAAAGGTAATATTCCATGATTATACTAGAATGAACATGGCGTTAACGCATTAATAGTTTCAGGCATTAATATTAGTTTTAGCTGTAAGTAACTGTGCACGAGCATCGGTGTATGGGAGGCTGACAAACACACGTACATTTACATAGCGATCAGTTTAGATGCAGTTACGCATTTATAGACAAGATTGTAATTTACAAAACCAAAATGTGGCTGACTATTACTGAATGTGTTTACTCACAGCCTGACATTTATGGCTCAAAAACGGACCGGACGGCACACTGCTATAGGCCGTCGTACTTGTTTACGCTTTGTGCGCTAGTGTCCGTGAGTAGTGACAGTTAACAAAAACCGGTCGTTTGCACTTGAAAATGAAATAACGGCGTTGTTGTCTGCTGTTGCCATTAAATATACAAATATATATTAAATATATATGTGTCCCTGTTGATAACGCCTCTTATTATAGGCAACGATGTCACGGAGATAACGAGCTTGTTTTGATCAATGAACGATATTCGTTTGTTATTAAACATTCGCAAGCTGGTTTGCGTAAATATAAACAAATGTGGTCACAATACAGTATTTGGCTACTTGTTTGGTCGGTTTCAATTGTTATCGAGTTTACATAAATTCCTGGCAGAGGGCGTAAAATCCATCATTTTCAAGCCGACGTTAAAATTACAGCGTAGCAAAGGCATAACTGTTACGTTACTCGTTAAAATCATTATACGCGGATCAACAAGATGCAACTCTTTTTTATTCATATATCATGCATGACCTTTGACTATAAAATTCGAATACACAGTCGAAGGGAAAAGGTGAAATTTGTGCAAAAAGCAAACCGTTGAATGTTACGTATAATAGTTCCAATGAAAACCAATTTAAAACATCAATACACTTATATGAATAGGACACTTTCCGTTTTGGGGTGAAGCGTAAATTTGCACGCGTGATATTGTGCTTCTGGGTGTACCAATAAAAAATAAAATTGTCTTAATATATAAATAAAATACAATTACCAGACTCGGGATATACCTTTCTATAAGTATGGTCTTTTTCACGTAACGAAACTTTCGGCTTTGCCAATTTCTGCAACCAATAGAGTTACTACTGTATCCGGGGAACATTTTCACAACATAAATAGCGTCCTCTAGTGTCAAAGCGTCTCTGTGATACTAGTATCCTCGGGGGGCGGACATCCGGGCATTTTCAAACAAAGGCGCAAAACTCGCATAAAACGGTACTTCGGGATGATTGTTGAGACTCCTCTGAACAGTGCAACAAAATTAGCCCTACGTGTGTAACATATATAAATTTGGTTGTTCGGGATTATTTTAAAGTTGAGTTTGTGTTGTTTTCTTGAATTTTCACCGGCTCCACCGGGCGTTCCACAGCAGCGCGCACAAAGCCCATAGAAATGCATGATACAGTGGTGCGCGTCTTAGCAACGTGGAACGTCTGTGACGTACCTCCGCCCCCAAGGATACATCTAGTGTTCACAGTTTTTGAAAAACTTACCAAGCACAATTATTGTTTTTAATTGATTCGACTCATTTACATAATATTTACGTCACAGAAATTACGTAACTAAATGTGTGTATATATGTAGACGGGTCTAGCTGTGGCAATTTTATAAAAAAAAAATCTTAAATTTTGGTCCGACGCAACATTTCGCGTTTCTTAAAATGCATTGAAAAAATAACGTTGCCACGACTGGAACAGTTTGGTATATGTGTGTCGACGCTTCTTCGCGGCTGGATATTATTTCTGCAGGGCTTGAACATGTTAGAATCAGAAACAACATCATGAAGAGGAAACACTTGGGAATAGATACATGGACAAATGTAATCCTCTGACAATAGACTCGCTGCTTAGTACATAAAGCAATCTTTTAGAGTAGTTTAACTGTTGACAAGTTTCCCCAGTGCGCTATTAGTATTACACTAACTATGACTTAATACTTTAAAAACTAAGCTACCTACTAGCAGAAATGCAGAACATTTAGAAGTATTATAATTCTTGATATGTTTTTTAGCGATTGGTCATATCACTAAATTATGATATCGAAGATGATTGCCTCCAATGACTGTGATATCTCATTATGCGGTCATTTGGATTTGACAATTGGTAAAACTACTCACGATTTACATCTACTCACGTTTCGGTATCCCACGCGTTTTATTTTTTTCAAATTTTCAGATTGCCAGTCACGCGAGATAAGCATTGAATTTCTCGTGTTAGCAAGTATTTATAAGATTAGGCTATGCAACTTTCCTAATCGTATACGTTGAATCTCAGACTAGTAATCTAAGTACAAGTATTACTAGTCTGAGGTTGAATGCAATGGAGATCTCATGAGAAGCGAACGCGTGAAAGCGAATCTATTGCGTGCCCGTCAATCGAACAAAATTCTTAACCAATAGGGACACAGAATGCAGTGGGTGCTTGGAAATGTTCGAATGCGTAATTACAGAAATGGGAGAGACTATCGCAGCGCTCAAACACAAAAACGGAAGTAATGCGCAATTTTCAAATGTTAAGCATCGACACTACCTAATAAATATAATATAAATGAAGACGAATAATTTCTATAACAGAATCACAGACATATATAACATTTAGCGCGACTTCTTATGTGTTGGTTAATTAAGATGGTTGTAGCCGAAGATATCATTTCGTCATAGTTTCATTATCATGGATTCATGCCAAACCAAGAATGAAAAACAATGAGGTCGCCGTACAATTTTACGAAACACGGGAGTTAGAAATGTAAGGGGAATTGGTCAAAATTGGCATTTTTTTACACTGTTTTTTTTATGATATCTCACAATTTTTGCTCTGCATATTAATGGACATGCAATTTAGTGAATTTCCAGGGCAATAATAGTTTTCCAGTGTAAACAACGGGAGGTTATCTCCTATAAGATCTACATAATTCTAGAGAAAAATGTTCCCGGAACATGTGAGAAAAACCTGATATAATAACAAATAATTCAACAGGAGAAACTATATTATTCTGTTTAGCGTCCATAAGCTGTCGAAATTCTTCATAGCCAGTGGCACCATTGTGTAAATCAATATATGCACTTTAAAGAAATTAAAGCCTATACTATACGGTGTAGCTTTTATCTGATTGAAATTTCAAGCACAAATAGCGTAAGATGGCACAACAATGCCGCTACGAGTAGCTAAACTATTTATCTGGCACTGCTAGTATGGTTCGGTGAAAAAGGATCATATTTTGATATTGGTTATTGGTTATTGGCGTTATTGGTAAATCCACGTCGTGCATGTATACGTTGTAACCCATAATTGGTAATACATGCATATTCATGTATTTATTAGGCAAAACAAATATGTTTCTGGTCCAAGGTTTCTTTTGAAAACACATGGTGATGCGACTTTTTTTCTGAAACATTAAAGGGCGGTAGTCGTCGCGCCACGCATGCGCGAGATATATGGGTGTCATATAAACAAGGATGGCGACTTTGACTGCGCAGATCAACGAGTACAAACTGAGACGTTACGAAACTTTAATTAGGTATTTTCAGGTGATTGGAAGGTATTGAAGGAGTCACCGACGGTAATTAGCGTAAGTCACGTCCAGGTCAAAACTCATACTTGTGATCTCCATTAAAAGAGCGCATTGGATTGTGGGAAAATCAATGTTTACAAACACAAATGTCGCACATGCGCAGCGCGACGACTGCCGCGCTTTAAGAAGGTCGATCTGCACATGTAGAACAAGATATTGCGCCGCCAACGACAGGCACATTCCATTCCCTCTTTTTTCTTTGTTTTCTAAGTGCGGCCTTTGGAAGGCGAGCACGCCGACCAAAACAGATCCAACTTGTTTGATCTTAACACATTGATATAACGCAGACTTCATAAAGTATAACAGTAAAAACAATAACAAACAATGTTTAATAAATCTACTGTGAAAACCCGTTACGTCAAGTCAAGTGGATTCTATTTTTCGTTTATAAACATTATATTATTAAAAGAATTTGTTTTCCTATTCCCATAGGCCACTCACTCTCAATTGATGTTTTTAATCCTAATGTAAATTTGTCTACCTTTTCAAGCAGTTCAATATCAATGACTGTTATATATTTTTCAAATTCTAATTTATTTTTAAGATTTATAGTGGTTGTTATCATTGTAAATGTCTTCCCATTGTGATATGTTATTTCCTTTAATTTTGCGTTTAAAAGTTTCGTATCAGTGTTTATAATTAGAGTTTGATCTATCTTCGTTAGTTGGGGTCTTACTTCGACGAACCATTTGCTGTTTGTTTCGTTATTCACTTGTGCAGATTCTTTGAATAGGAAGTTGTCTGTAGTTGATACACTGTATTATTTAATTAGTTTTTTATAATGTGGCCATTAGACTCAATCTACCCAATTCTTTATATATATATACCCATTATCGGTGTGTTTTTGATAAAACTTAGAAGTTATCTGTGGTAATTGGTACGGATCTCCCAGGCATCATTCATTGGAAATATATATCTAGAAATGACCGGATTAATTTATCAATTAGCGACAGCGTTTTAGTTATTTTTATATTTTATTTATATCTTATTTTTTCTCTTTCAGTAAAAATTAGGCCTTTTTTGCTCCCTCCTTTTTAGATTTGCCAGTGCGTCTTAAAATTTGCCAATATAGCTCAATGTGACTCGCAGATAATTAAATGTTTTTGTCGTGTTTATTTAGCTGTCTTCGAAAATGAATAGCTTACCGCCTATAAGCCAGTTGCATTTACTAAAGATCACAGCTTTTTTTCTAATGTCGTGTGCTATTATATGTCGCCAGATGACTGTAAACCATTTTCTTTAGAGTTGGAGGGTCATTGTTTTGAGATCAAAGATATCTGGCAGATCGTTTACGGGAAAGTGGTCTCTAAAAGCCCGAGGGCTGTCACATAACATCTATCACTGTGACATCGGATTTCAACTCCATATTAGATATAAGCATGAGATATTATTAATTAATAGCATTTTCCATGT